TGATAGAAAGTTTTATTTTTAAGGATTTTATGAATCTCATTAATCATAGTAATAAAGCATCCAAAAATTCAGATCTTTAGCTTTTTCATCTGTTAAAGGGAGATGGTAACACCTATCCTGCTAGGAACAGGGGGTGGCTGAGAAGACTACCTGAAATGATGTATGGGGCCATATACAAAGACTCACCCTACAAATGTTAAAGCTGCAACTGCAATCCAAATTGGATAGTCAACCCTCCTCCACTCATCTCTGTCTGATTCTATGAAAATTCTCTGCCTGCTATCTATGACCCAATTTGTGTGTGAGCAAGGATTCTGCCTCTAATCTCAGGATTCCCAGATTTAGTAGGACACCCAGCACTTAGTAAAGTGCTCACTAAATGTGTATAACAATGTACATGACAAGCATCATACTAGTTTCATTCACTCACATTGTACTAGACAACATTAGACAGGACAGAATATGAACAGAAAGGGGAAATAGAAATTATTGAGAGGTTACCACTTACTGTGCACTCCGTATACCTGGTTTTGTTTATCAACTGAAAACCCTATGAAGTAGATGATATTGTCCTTATTTTACCTCTGAGTCTCCAGAGTTGGGTAGCACACCAGAGGGCACACAGCTACCCACAGGGCTGTGACGCAATATACCACATGCCTCCCTGTGATGAGGCCCTATACTCCAAGAATTCATCTTCTCCAGCACATTTGATTTCACAGTACCAACGACTTCTAGAATTGAGCAGAAACTTGGGGCACATCGAGTCCAACCATGGATTCCAGAGGACAAAGCTGAAGTTCAAAGAGGGATGTGTGGCCAAGGTCACAGGGAGTGTTAGTGAAACAGTCCATGAAAAAAGCTAGCGGGTTTCACATTGACGAGGTCAGTCATATTTGTGTAATACTTTAATGAAATTTACACATATATTTTATAGTTCATGAAAGTTTGTAAATAATTCTTTCTTTGATCCAATGTACCTTTACAAAAATAACATGCATTTCCCATTTGCCTACAATTAAACCTTATGTAACTAAACAAAGTTGGTTTATTTCTGCTAGTGACCTCTCTGTTAGAAAATAGTTCAAGACAATGACTGAAATCCCAGCAGAAAAAGCATCCCTCGGCAGAGAAAAGCCTCCTAAACAAGAATCAAAATGATAAGTAAATACTAGAAAAAGGCAAAGGCATTTGCTATTTTAAAAATGGAAAGAAAAAATTAAATAAATTTTCTGTGAAAATCACCTGAGTCATCTTTAAAAGCTTTCCCAAATTCCAAATGGCTCTGTTATTAGTGATTCTTAACGCATGAGGTAGTCATTTAAGAATAAATCTTTAAGTAATTCAAAACAAGGGCTCTTCAGTAAATAGTTGAAATTAAGGGGGGAGTTAGCGTCATCTGGTTTCCATTAAGATGATAAAATAGTTCACTTGAAACCTTTTACAAGACGCTTTGTTACTGGGAGGTGTCTGCGCATCTCACTCCATCACTAGGCATTTGACACAACATAAAAGGCTTCAAAAGCCATGTTAGGCCTCTTAATCAAAAACTAATTGTAATAGATATTGGGGAGTGTTAACACGGTGACCGCTAGGTTGTAGCTGTGGTATGGAAGCTGCAGTGAACATTAAACACAACCCCGAGTTGATAGGTCTTATCTCAATTTCAGAGCTAAGTGCTAAGTACTACAGGCCGGTATCTCCCTGCTGTTGCTTTGTACCACTTTTGGAGTTAATTGCCCCATCAGGCTTCATCTTCTTAATGAAATTTATAGCATTGTCAGAGAACTTGGGAGATACCGCTGCAGTTTAGGAGACTTTACAGAAAACAGAGACATAAACAGAGGGGAAAAGAAAATACATACTTGAAGCCTAATGTATCTGCCGCCTTCCTGGAGTGGTGCAGGGCTCCCCAGGCACACAGGGACCCATTTGCAGCACATTAACCCTTTCAGGACTGTAATGGAATATTCATGCAATGCACTCTAATGGAAAGTTAATCATTGGTATCCTAGGGCCTGTGGCAGGCATTCAATAAATACTTAATGATCAGCTCTACAAGACTAGAAGAGGCCAGCAGGCAATGAATGGGAGTCATGTGTTGGGTGGCCCCCGTGCCTAACACCCAGTGTCTAAGATATGACTGCAACTCAGGAAGTGTTTTCTGGATGATTGATGAGTGAATAACTGATCTCACTAGAGGATTGTTCTTCATGATTTTCAGAGTGCTTTCGTGTTTGATCCCCACAGCCATCCACCCGACAGGCCTAAGGTTTCATTAATGATTGATCTGGGCCTCACACAGGTGCTCTGTAGCTCCCATTCCAGTCTTCTTGACTGGAAAGATACTCTGTAAATACTTCGTTAGCTAAATCTGGCTAGCAGGATTTCGAAAGTTAAAGACTAAATGTGATTTTGCCTCCTAGACTGGATCCTGGAACAGAAAAAAAAAAAGTAGAGGAAAAATTGGTAAAATCTGGCAACGTCTGGAGTTTAGTTGATACCAAATCATATGTTGTACTTAATTATATGTTAACTTTTATATGTTAATACTTACTTTCTTAGTATTAAGGTTATATACAAGGTCAACAAGCTGGGTGAAAGTTGTACAGGAATTCTCTGTACTCTCTCTGAATTCTTCTATAACTCTAAAATTCTTTCAAAATACACAGGTTTGGAAAAGAACAGCAACTCCACGTTATCAAGATACAAAAGCACATTATATAAACATAAAATGGAATGAAAAACTATATTACTTTTATCCACCGGCAGATGGTTTTTCTAAGTAGGGCCCATTCCATCCTCTCAGTCTTTCTCCAGCCACAGCTTTCTATATGGTTCCACAAAACTCTGAGTCTCTACTTTTACATCTGTTGCATTTTACAGTAGCTATTCATGCATGTGACACATTCTTCCACTGCACTTCAAACTCTCAGAGGAAATGAACTGTGCCTTGTTTATCCTTGTACCCTCAAAAGTGTTCATTTGAAACTATTTTGGCATAACCCACAGGAAGAAAAAAAAGTATGTATTTAGCAAAAATTACCATGATCTCATACCAAACAATTATCATAAATTAGAAGATTGCTTTGACTGCCTTAAAAGTGTCCAAAATAACAATGGCCAATATTCGGTAGGTCTATTTCTCTCTCACATCCGGTGGATTCAGAAGGTTCTGCTCTCCAAGGTGATCCAGCCACTAGCTTCTTTCCATCTTTGTTTTCTCTCAGGACCTGGGGTGTTGCTCTTGGCAGCCAGTTCAGAGATGGCTCAACACCCCCATGTCCATGCTTGAGCCTGCCTTGAAGGGAAAAGGAGAAGTTGAGGGCAGGCAATTCCTTTTGAGTACCCAACAGTTTCACAAAGCATGTCATTTTCATACTACAGGCCAGAAATCAGTCAAATAGCTTACCTACCTGCAAAGACAGCTGGGAAATAGAGTCCAACTAAATGACCTTATGATGACCTAAAACTAAGAGGAGAGAATTGGGTATAAAGGACAATTCTGAATCCCTGCCACAGTTACTTTCTGTTATAAAAACTTCCCTATGAAGATGTGTACTTTTTCTTATGCAGAAGTTAATGCTACAAAGCACATTAGTATTTTTTACGACACCATTACGGAGATATAATTTACGTATCATAAAATATCCCCCTTTTAATTGTACTATTTAGTGGTTTTTAGTATATTCAGAGTTGTACAGCCATCATGATGATCTAATTTCTAGACATTTTCATCGCCATGAAAAGAAACCCCGTGCCCATTAGCGGTCACTCTCCACTACTACTCCCCCAACCCCTGCCGACAGCTCGTCTCATTTCTGTCTTTATGCATTTTCTCGTTTTGGATATTTCATATCAGTGGAATGATATGTGCCCTTTTGTGTCTGGATTCTTTCATTTGGTGTGGTATTTTCAAGGTCCATCTGCCTTCTAGCATGTGTTAATACTTTATTCTTCTTCATGACTAAATAACACCCATGGTGTAGATATATGACATTTTGCCTATCCAATCACCCATTGATGGACATCTGGTTGTTTTCACATTTTGGCTTTTATCAATAACTCTGCTAAGAAATTCCTGAAGAACTTTTTTGTGTGAACATGTTTTCAATTCTTCTGGGTATACATATGTAAGCATGCCAGGTCTTAACACTAATTCTGTGTTTAACATTTGGAGAAACTGCCAAACTGTTTTCCAAAGTGGCTGCTCTCTCTTCCAATTCTACTAACAATGTACAAGGATTCCAGTCTCTCTATATCCTTACCAACACTTACTACTGTCTTTTTTTTTTAAAGCCATCCTAGTAGGCATGAAATAAAATCTCATTGTTGTTTTGATGTAATTTCCTTAAAGACTAATGATATTGGGCACCTTTTCATATACTTATTGGCAATTTGCATATTTTCTTTAAAAAGAAGTGTCTATTCAAATCCTCTGTCCATTTTTAACTGGGTTGCTTGTCATTTCATTATTCAGTTGTAAAAATACTTTCTATATTATGGACATGAGTCCCTAATATATGATGTGAAAATATTTTCTCCCTTCTGTGGGTTCTGTTTTCACTTTCTTGATAGTGTTTTTTGAGGTATAAAGCTTTCTTCAAATTTCAATAAAGTCCAACCTACCTATTTTTGTCTTTGTTTTATCTTTTGGTGCCATATCTAGGAAACTACAGCCTAATTCAGTTTTGTAATTATAGAACTCTCTTACATTTAGGCCTATGATCCATTTTGAGTTAATTTTGAGTAAATGTAGGGTAGGGGTCTAACTTTATTCTTTTGCACATGGACTTCTAGTTTTCCTAGCACCATTTTTTAGCAGACTATTACTTCTTCCATTGAATTGTGTTGGCATCCTTTTCAAAAATCAACTAACTGTACCTGTGAGGGTTTTTTGCTAGATTCTCAATTCTATTGCATTGATCTAATGGCTTATCCTTATGCCAAAACAACATTGTCTTCATGTATTTTACAGTAAGATTCAATTTGGAAAATATGAATACTCCAACTTTGTTCTTTTTCAAGATTATTTGGCTATATTGAGTCCTTTGCATTTTCATTTAAAATTTACAATCAGCTTGTCAATTAATTTTTTTAAAAGGGCAGCTGAGATTCTGAATGGGATTGTTTGAATTTGCAGACCATCTTGAAAAGTGTTACTATTTGAACAATGTTTTTCACCAACCCATGAACATGAAATGTCTTTCTAATTATTTAGGTCTTCTTTAATTTCACTGATGTTTGGTAGTTTTTACGAAGTCTTGCACTCTTTTTGTTACATTTATTTCTAAATATTTTATTCTTTTTGATGCTGTTAGAAGTAGAATTGCTTTCTCATTTTCATTTTTAAATTTTTTATTGCTAGCATATAGAAACACAGTTGATCTTTGTATATCAATGTTGTATTCTTCAACCTTGCTAAACTAGAGTTTCTTAGTGTATTTCTTGGGATTTTCTATAAACAGTATCAGTCATCTTCAAATAGTAATAGTTTTATTATTCCTTCCCAGTCTGCATGCCTTTTATTTCTTTTTCCTTCCCTGGTTAGAATCTCCAGTAAAATGTAGAACAGAAGTGGCAAAAGCAGACATCGTTGTCTTGTTCCTGGTCTTAGGGGGATCAAGCTTTCACCATTGAGCATGCCATTAGCTGTGGATAATTCATAGGTGACCTTCAATAGTTTGAGAAAGTTCCCTCCTATTCCTAAACTGGTTCAGTGTTTTTATCATGAATGGGTATTAAATATTGTCAATTTTTGTCTTCGTTGAAATTATTATGTGATTTTGTTATTGATTTTATTAATACAATATATTCTATAGATTGATTTTCATGTGTTAAACTAATCTTACATTCCTAGGATAAATCCCATTTGGTCAAGGGGAATGATCTTTTTGTATGTTGCTAAACTTCGCTTGTTAGTAGATATTTGTAGCTACACTTATAAGAAATGATATTAGTCTGTATTTCTTTTCTTGTAATGTCATTGTCTGGGTTTGGTATCAAGGCAAGTTTGGGTAATATTGGCCTCAGTATGTTAATTCTTCATTAAATATTTGGAAGAATTCATCAGTGAAGCCATCTAGCCTTGGTATTTCTTTGTGTGAAGTTTTGATTCATAATTCAATCTCTTTACTTTTGTAGGTCAATTTACATATTTTATTTCTTCTTAAGTCAATTTCAGTATTTTGTGTGTCTCTAACAATTTATCTGTTTCATTTAGGTTATCTAATTGTATTTAATACAATTGATCATAGTTTTCCCTTATAATCCTTTTTCTATTTTAGTAAAGTGGGCAGCGATCTCCTTTCATTCCTAATTTTAGTAATTTGAGTTTTCCTTCTTTGTTGGTTAATGTAATTAAAAATTTGTCAATTTTGTTGATCTTTTCAAATGATCAACTTTAAGTTTTGTTAATTTAGCCCCTATTTCATTTATTACTGCTTTACTCTTTATTATTAATCTTCCTTCTACTTGCTTTGAGTTTAATATGCTCTTCCTTTCCAAGTTTCTTAAGGTGAATGTTTAGGCTATTGATGTGAGATCTTTTTTAATATAGGTCCTTATGGCTATAGATTTCCCTCTAAGCACTGCTTTCCCTGCATCGCAAATTTTTTGTAGGTTGTGTTTTCCTTTTCATTCATTTCAAAGTGTTTAATAGTTTCCCTTGTGATTTATTCTATGATACATCAGTTATTTAGAAGTGTGTTGTTTAATTTCTACTTGTTGGTAAATTTTCTAAAAATCCTTCTGTTATTAAACTCTAATTTATTTTGATGATGGTCAGAGAATATTCTTCTATGTATATGTGATTCAATCCTTATACAAGCATTGTTTTCTAACCTAATATGTATGGTCTTTCCTGGCTATTGTTCCTCAGGCGCTTAAGAATCGTATTCTGCATTGTTGAGCAGAGTGTTCTATAAAAGTCTGTTAGGTCTAGTTGGTTTATACTGTTGTTTGAGATTTTTGTTTCCTTGTTAATCTTCTGATGAGTTGATCTATTCACTTTTGAAAATGGGGTATTGAAGTTTCCAACTATTATTTATGAATGTCCTATTTCTCTGTTCAATTCTGTCCCTTTTTGTTTAATACGTTTTAGGGGTCTTCTTTTGGGTGTGTATATTTTCATCACTATTAAGTCTTCCTTATGGTCTCATCCCTTTATTGTTATAAAATGCCATTCTCTACTTCTAGTAACAGTTTTTGTCTTAAAGTCTATTTCATCTGAATTAGGATGGCCACTCCAGCTCTGTTTTGGTTACTGTTTGCCTAGTTATGCTTTCCTTATCCTTTCACTTTCAACCTATTTGTGTCTTTGATCTAAAGTGTGTTTTTTATAGAGAGCATATAGTTGGATCATGACTTTTTATCCATTTTGCTACTCTCACACTTTGACTTAAGTGGTTAGTACATTGCTATTAGGGCATTACTGAAAACATAGGGTTTATATCTGCTATTTTGCTATTTGTTTTCTATGTATCCTTTGTCTTTTTTGTTCCATTACTCATCCATAACTATCTTCTTTTGTGTTAGTTAGGTATTATATAGTTTACTATTTTAGAGTCCTTGATGTTTGTTTTACTATTTGTTGTTATTTTCTTAGTGGTTGCCCAGGGTATATAATCAACATCCTAAATTACTCTAGCAAATTCTTCATTTCAATTTTCATACTTTTCAATGCCACAATTCCCATTTGGTTCTTTTTTACAGTTTCTATCTCTTGAATGATATTCTGTGCTTGGTGAAACATCATTCTTTTACTTTCTTTTAGTTACTTAGATATACCTTCCTTTGGTTCTTTTTAATTCTTTGTCTAGTAAAACCAACATCTGGGGTACTTCAGAAACAGTATTTTGTGTGTCTCTGCTTTTTTTACTGCTTTTTTTCCACCGCCCTCCCCACACCATGCACAGGCCATACTTCCCTGTTTCTTTTGAAAACTGGACAGTTTCTAAAAATATGAAGTGGTTACTCTGGAAGTAAGATTCCCCCCCCCCAGGATTGTTAAAGTTTTTATTGTTGATGCTGCCTGTTTGCTTCATGACTTTCTTGAACTAATTCTAAAAAGTCTATATTTCTGTCATGTGCAGCCAATGGAGTCTCTGATTAGACACTAAATGGTCAACTGATGGTTAAACAGATTTCCTTAAACGATTTGAATCAATAAATCTACAAGCCCTTGCTAAGAAGCTCTGAAGGACATTGTGGGGGTAACTTTAAATGCTCAGCCAGGCAGGTGAGAATGCCACCTATACTTTCACTTTCTCCTTACACAGAGACTCAAGGTCAACCAGAGGT